TATTTGACTTAGCTAATGAAAGTAAGTTAATTCAGCTAAGCGGATGTAGGATAGAGTTATATGGAGAAAAAGCACTAATGGTCTCTATTTTGCCAAATATTTTTTCAAACAAATTGCAAGTAATGTGGGTGCTAATCAACACTTGCGAAAAATGATATGGGCTAATCTTGCTCCTCCTCAAGTGGAGGTTCTTTATTGGCAAGTTCTTAAAGGAAAAATGGCTGTTAGCAGGGGCAACAATCTCACAAGCCTAAAGCTAAATAATCAAATGAGGTATTTTTTATTGAAATCAAGCAAAAAAAAAAAACTTTACTGTCAATTGAAGATCATTAAATACATATTATTGTTAGTTGATTGAAAATAGGAGAAATAGTTGAAAATTAATAATATTGTGGGAATTGGGAAGTGACAAAAAATTGAGATGTATTAAGCAAATAATTAGAGAAGTGAGATAGAGTTGTAAGGTGTTGTTTGGGTGAAGTGGGAATCAATGGTGTTTTGAAAGACAATAAAGGAAACATAAAGATTCTTTTCTCCAAATCTATAGGAATTGCGGATTCAAATCTAGTCGAGATCGTTGCTATTAAGGAAGTTTTTCTTCTTTTTATTGCTTCTTCTTGGGCTTGCACTCATAAGCTCATTCTTGAATTGGATTCATCTAATGTTGTCAAGTGGTCGAATATGACGCATCTACTGCACCATGGAGGATGAGAAGCACTTTGTGTTTGGTGAATAGTTTGAAGTATAGTATTCTCAAATGGATAGTATTTTATAGCTCAAGATCAGCCAACCAACTTGATGATCATTTGGCCAAAAGATGAGGTTGAGCAGTCAAATGATCTTGTTTAGGTCTTTCTATTATGTTTTGTTGCATGTCTTCTTTTTCCTAAACTTTTTCTTTTTTCCATTCCTAATGACTTTTTTGGCTTCTTTTTTTATGGCTAAATGGCTCTTTGTTTTGTTGGCTGCTATTTTATTTATGGGTAGTTTGTGTTTTTGTGTGCAGTTGTTTAGTTGTGAGGAGCTATTTTTGAGCCATCTCAAGTACTTTTTTTGTTTTTTGCTTAGCACCATCTCATGTACTTCGATTATGTTTCCTTGTGGGTCTGCACTGTTTAGTGTGAATCTTATTTTAATAAAGTCTTGCTTTTCAAAAGACACAAATGTAGGAGGTGATTATAGAAAACGAGGAATATAAGTAAAATAGTAAAAGGAAGTCTGAGGCGTGGTATCACTGTCTTTAAGGATAATTTTCATCCCTTCGAAGTATGAAACTCGATGCAAAAGGATTATAGTGATTATCCTCCAAGATTTAACATACTCTTCCTTAGTAGTTTGCACAAACTATTAAAGGTGAATAGGAACAGCAGAAACAAAAAGAAAGAATCCAGCTATCGAAGGAAGGAGGCAAAGAAGGAAGTAAAGAAAGCTTAGAAAATGATAAGTTTTTTGGTGTATGTTGAGAGTGAAGGTGTGAAGCTGTATTTATAGGCATGGAGAGAAAAACTTGGTCAACTTATTTACTAAGTCAAATAAATGTTGGAGCATAACCACGTAAGGTAGGTAGAGTTTTAGTATGATTCCAGCTATCGAAGGAAGGAGGCAAAGAAGGAAGTAAAGAAGCTTAGAAAATGATAAGTTTTTTGGTGTATGTTGAGAGTGAAGGTGTGAAGCTGTATTTATAGGCATGGAGAGAAAAACTTGGTCAACTTATTTACTAAGTCAACTTATTTACTAAGTCAAATAAATGTTGGAGCATAACCACGTAAGGTAGGTAGAGTTTTAGTATGATTCAATCAAGGCTGAAAACTTTAAAAAAAATTTAATGCCAAGGTACAAAAATTCACTTGGGCACAGCCCACATGTACATTTGCACACAAGGGGGGGAATCTGAAATTTCTCAAGGTTTGGCCCAACCTTGTGTGTGCGCGAGCCCACTCCATTTTCTTTGCTTGCAACAAGCCCATAATGTGTTTTCATATATAAGGCTTTCACCATTTAAGTATCTTGGCAATGTGAGATGTTTGAACCTTATGAAATACACTATTTTTTAACAACAAATGGGTAGCGATGAGAGGAGTACTACCCCATGTTTGGAGCTATGAAACTTTTCAAAACATTTCTAATTGTTAGAGTGAACTAGTTTTGGTTGAAGATAGTACATTGAACAAAGGAGTTACAATCAATAAGTGTTATTAGTCTCAACTTATGAGAATGAAAGAATAGAGGAGATTATGGAACTTAAAGTTGAAAGAAGGGTTTATAAGCTTCTTACAAATAAAATACAATTAATAGAGAAAAACATGCAAGTAGATGAAAAGAACTCCAAAAATTCACTATAGGAGATATCAGGCTCAAAAAAAATTAAAAAGCAGTGGAAATGAGGAGGAAAAAAGAGTTGACATATCCATTATGAATAAAGTGGAAATGGTTGAATTGGTAGAACTTGATTGTGCAAGAAAGCAAGGAAAGGGGAGGGAAAGCAAAGCAATTCAAATTCAATTGCTCTTCCCAACAACTCGAGAAACAACTTTGAAAAAGAGGAGCAACCAATGTCAAATGACAGAGGAACATATATAGAAAGTTGAATGAAAAGAAAGCATAAAAGGGGACAGTGTTATAGAAGCAAGATAGCAAAAAATTGAAAGAAAAATGGAAAGACAAAATGAGACCTACATAAGAAGAGAAAGGAAGAATTAGATGAAACGGAGATGGGCTTTAAAAATAATAAAGGAATTCAAGAAGAAGGCCTAGCAAATAAAGAAAGTGAGATGGTCTACAAAAAAGACCATGGGCTCAAACAAAAAGATTGGGTCAAGGCTATTAGTGAAAAGGAGTAATTAGGTGAAGCCTAAGATATTATGGGGTTGAGTAATACAAAAGAGGAGGCCATGGAGAATGCACAGGCCCAATCAAATATAGGAACGTTGAGAAATGAGGAATCGAAAAAAAGCCTTAAGTGAGAAAAAGAGGCCTCAGCAAAACAAATGAAAGGATGGAAAAATAGAAAAAAGGAAGAAAGAAAAGGGCATGGAAGAAAAGGAAATAGAGAGAAATAGTGAATAAGACGAGGTTAGAATTCAGAGATTAATTGGAGATGAAAGTGAAAAAGGGGGAAAAGAGTACTTGCAAGAAATTTCATGGGCAACAAAACTAAAAAATTGGAAGGTGGGTTTGCTAATAGGTATTGAGGCGAAAACAAGTGAGGTGAAGAGGGGAAAAGGGAGAAGAAAGAAAAAAAAAGGAGAAAGAATAAGAAATTCATATAAGAATCTAAAAAAGATGAAGATAAGGTGTTAAATACATCATTTACAAATAGTGATGTTATGAACCGAAATAACATCATACTATTTGAGGCAAAAAAATGTTGGGAACTCAAGAAATCAGTTAAAATAATTAATTTTGGTTAATTCAGTTAAAATGATTAATTTGGTTAAAACTGACATAGCCAACTTAGCTGATGAAAGTGATTACTTTGATTCAATTAATTCAATTGGTTAAAAAGATAGTTAAAACTAAACCAACTTAACCGACAAAAGTATATTACTTTGATTCGATGAGTTTAATTAAAATGATTATTTTGGTTAAGAGAGTCAGTTAAGCTCTTTATGTCAGATTAGGTTGATTAAAGTGTTTAATGTCAATTAATTGAATTAACAGACTTAATACTTACTATTTTTGTAGGGTAAGTATAATGACAAATAGCACATAATCTCATTAGCATTTTCATTTTTTTTGTTAATTTCAAATTTCTTCTATTTATTTTTATATATGTAAATATATAATCCCTGCCAATATTCACCTCCTCAATGTAACAAAAAAATCAATTTATATTTTTATGAATTTTTATTAAAACATTAATATCAATATATCAATAACTATATAAAAAACTTACAAAAATTAAACATAATGCAAAGCTAATATCTATCTATGAAATATGTGACTATCATCGCACTTATTTATTCAAAAATGTGAAAGATTTTTTTATTTGTATAAATCAATTAGAAAAATTACAAAACACTTTCTTAGGAGACAGCTAAAGTAAACATGTATACAAGCACCACACATTCATATTTTCTTAAACAACACAACAAAAACCCTACATTTTCCCCTATACTACACGATTGACTACATTGGTTATGTCCAAGTAGACAGCTAAAGTAAACATGTTTTTGGTAGCTACATCCAATTGCTTAACTAGCTTTGCCACTCGTTGCAACTCCAAGTAATGCAACGAGATGTGTCGTCACCATTGCAGGACGCTTGTGTACACCAATGGTAATTTTACTTAAAAAGGAACAAATATCCCCACAATCAATCTATTCACATCTCTAGACCTATTAGTGAAAACAACTTTTGGATACATGAAATGGGTAATAAATGGGTCACGAGTTATATTGATACACGATAACATGATTAACTAATCATATTTTAAATGTGTCTTAGATCGGGTTAATCGAGTTTGACATTGTATTTGAATGAATTACGATTGGTTTTCAATTAATGTTTTTATATTTTTAATTATTTTAAGATAATATAAAGATTTAGATTTGTATAATTGTTCTATTCATTTTAATGCTTTTGAGGAAATTTGTTCTCTTAAATCTAAAAACCTCATTCTTAAAAAAGTTATCGATATTCCTGTAAAGCAAAAACATCTCTAAAAAATAAAAGTATCTCTGAAACTTATAAGGCATATTTGCAAAATTTTTAATATTTTAATTAATTCTTGTTAAATTTTCAAAAGAGCAATTATTAAAAATAAAGAAAACCTATTTATAAAAGGCTTTCATTGTCATATCAAAAGAGGAACCAAGAATCACTCAATATATATATATATATATATATATATATGATTTAGTGGTGTTATTGGGCCAAGGCATTTCTTCAGAAGTACCCGCATGGATCCAAAAAGTGCTAAGGCCGAAGCCCAAAAAAACAGAGGGCAAACCCGGGGTGCTACAAATCGTTGACCCATATTTCCCGGCAAGCTGATTGGCTGGTAATTGAAACAGAAAATCTAAAGGATTGTCATTCTCCCTCACGTTTTTGTTCAAAGGAATTTGGATGGCTCAATTGATGAGAGCACCAACAATCTGCTTCACTCCAAAGCTATTTCCTAAACACCCCAGAAATAGGATGGCTTTGAATGCCAACAACATGACCGCTTCCTTAAACAACAATACCAACAACAGGAAGCTTCCCATATTGCTCTTTGACATCATGGACACCATTGTTCGTGACCCCTTTTACCATGATATCCCCGCCTTCTTCAGGTAGATGGGTCTTTCATTTCCTTTCTTTCTTCTTTTTTTTTTGATGCTTTCTTTGAATAGGGTTTGTTGGGTTTTGATCATTGTTTTTTCTTTTGAAAACGGTGTAACTGCCCCTGCTGGAAATATTATTTTTGGAAGTGATCAAAGTTAAATTTGATGGTCAGAATGTCTTTCAAGGAACTAATAGAGTGCAAGCATCCAACTGCATGGATTGAGTTCGAAAATGGGGTGATTAATGAGGTATCCTCCTAAAAATATAATGTGGAAAAGTTTGGTTATATTTCTCCAGATATTTGTTGAGTAAAGTAGTCATATGAATATGGTGTTGAGGTATCTTTAAAACTGTTTGATGGAGATAGCTAACAAGAGTAAAATATTTCTTAAAATATGTTTCACTTGTCAATTTTGAGGATTGATTTCCATGTTAAGCAATAAAAGCTATGATGGTTATTGATTACCTTTGGATTGTGCATAGGTACTTGAGACTTGAAAACATCCTTGAGCTTCTGTGAGTTTGATTTTTCAAACTTGAGCTTTACTCAATTAGGCTTGAATACTTTAGATATATATAATGTTATTCTATTTATATATGCTTGAGCTTGACTTAGCAGTGGATGAGTTGAGTTTGATTGTTTCCTGCGTAGCTTGCAAGCCAGCTTGACTCACTAACACCCCAAGTTGGACACACTGTAGTTGTTTTGTTTGCTCTTACTTCTCTGTCGTTGTTGTTATCCTACATCTCATCTGAAATATGATTTAGCAGTTGAACACAAAATAACTAGCCTCTTTTTAGTCCTTTTCTTTTGTCTCTGATGCATTACCAGCTTTTCTGATGAGTGGATACACTAGCTAAAATATTGTTCTTTAACTAATTTCTTTTTTATAGTATGCATCAACTATTGATGCTTGTCTAAATAACCACTCCATAACATAGCACTTGTGTATTGCTTTTAGACTAAATATCACCATTTGCATTCATTTATATTTTCATTCTTTACTTATGCAGTAGCCTATTGGTTTTATGTCAATGTGGATCTATCTATAACCACGATCCTTTACAATATTGGCCCATATAGTTATTTCTTTGACGGAAATGTATGGGCACTTGTAAATTCCTAGTCCACCAAAAACCTATTATGAAGCATTACTTAATTGTTGCAGATGCAATTTCGCCTGAATCAATCCTTTTGGATTTCTGTTTTGTTCTTTGCTTTTTCTTGTGATTTTATTTCCTTTTCTTTTAGCTTCGGGAGTGTGAAAAAGTTATCTTATTTCCTTTCAGGAGGAGCTAGCTGGAAAATTCTTTAAAGACGGAAGGGCTTTTGATTTGGAAGGTTAGATTGCATTTGGTCTTTTTTTTTTTTAATATTATTCTGTCTGTTGGTTGTATTAAGGTGGGTGAGTAGTTTCATTAGATATTTGCAAAATGTGTTTGATTTTAGTATAAATTCTCAAATAAAATTGAAATTCTGCATTAATTCTGGTGGAGCTTGTTTCATTGTGGCATTTTTTTACCTTTGTTGTGTATGGCATGTACATAGATTTCTTTACCATAATTTTTTAGCACCACAATGCTAATTTTTGTGAAATTAATATAGTAATCAAGCTAGTTAGGTATAGAATTTCTGGTGGTTAGGGTTTTCAACTGCAAAGGAAAAGGTTTAAATGAGCTTGGACTCAAACATATTGACAACGAGGGAAGGGGGGATTTGGAGGTAAACTCTGAGTACTGCTTAATTAGAAGTATGTTGAAAAAAATTTCAGCAAGTAGAAGAAATGGTTTCAAGGTTAATTGTTTGGGGGTATCAAGCTAAGTGAAGCATGGGAATTTTGATATTAAAGAAGATACAAAGGAAAAAGGAAGGCTTTGCGTTTGCAAAAAGGTAAGCATAGTTATAGTGTCTAGGGTTGTAAGTTATTACACTGAATAAAAGAGTAATACATATGGCTTGTAGTGCTGAGTGCCGGATTCCCAAAAGAAAGGGTTAGGCCATTAAATATGCATGCTTATGTTGATATGATGCGTGGATTATGGACATTGTGGTAGGTTGGTGAGTGGATACCTGTGTGGTGTTTGCATACATGCAACTGCATGTGAATGCATATACATATGTGATTTATTGATTTATGATTTTGGATATTTATTCATGTATGCATGCATGCCAGTTCTTGCATGGTGTGTGTGTGTGGCTAGAGAGACAGAGACAAAGAGGTAAAGAAATTTTGAATTTATTCAATTGCGTATGCATGCACATGCCGTTATGCTTGTGTTTTTTAGGGCACATGTGTCCTGAAACACATTCAAATTTTTGTCCAAATACATTTATTTGTTAGCTTGTTTATTTTTAGCATTTTAACTCCAAGCAAAAGGAAAAATGAATTTTTCTTAGAAACTGTAGTTTAACCAACCACAAAGACATCTCAAAGCCTATGGTATCATGATGAAAGCTGATATGAGAAATTTGGTTTTCAGACACTACTGGTATCACAAAAATACCTCTTTGGCACAAAATGTGGAAAGACATGTTGCAGTGGTGCTCTTTTCAGTTTTTGTTGGTTATTGGGGTGAGATGGTGTCGCAAAATAGTAATGGGGTTGAATTAGAAAGGAGAAATATGCATTGCTGAGGGAGCATGAGAGAGGGGAGGGAAACTGAAAGGATAAAGACAGAGCAAGTTAGATGGAGGATCTCCTGTGAAGGAGTAACAGATAGAACCAATTGTCTAGTAGCTGGCATATGTACAAAACCTCCAATACTGGTGACTGAGTTTCTAGTCTGTGGAAAGATTGATGCAGGAACAAGTACAAACTGTATCACATCTGGTAAACAACTAGTGATTGTTTACCCTTATTTTTGTTCAGATCATAGTGAATATGGTAGTTGCCATTATTTGCCAAGGAATGAAAATATATCTAATAAATCAATTGCTTGCCAACTTCCATACATACACACATACATACATATATACATACTTACATACATATATATATAATATTAAGAAAAATTAAAGATAGCAAAACTTCATTTGCAAGTGAAAAATGATTCTTTTTTAATATTTAAAAATGAATAATTGTTTTTGTAAGTAATAATTACTAAACAAATCATACATAAAACTCAGGACTGTGCTTTGATGTTGTCTTATTCTTGAGAGCTGGACAGGGATGGAGGAGTCTGTTATGCTATTATAAATTCATTTCCATTTCTGGTTTAGAGAAACAGATCGCATTTGTTGAATACAAGAGGAAGCAGTGATAACGTGGCAGTAGATTTTCAACAATGTTTTGTTCTTCAATATATCATTTACAATTTAAGTGTATGTCCATGAATTATATCTGATATCTCTATGTTCGCTTTCATAATTGTGTTAAGGTATTAATTTCAATAACCTTTTTGTTAAGGCCTCAAAAATTGTATGAGAAGAGGATATTCCTACATAGACGGAATTGAACAATTGCTTCAAGCATTAAAACAAAACAACTATGAGATGCATGCTTTCACAAATTACCCCATCTGGTAAGATGGATCAGCTCTCCTGATTCCTTCTGATTTAGTAGTTTATTAATTAAAGATATGTACATGTGTATGTATTTTTTCAGGTACAAAATAATTGAGGACAAGTTAAACATTTCAAATTATTTATCCTGGACATTTTGCTCATGCATGTATGGTACGTTCAAAGACTCAAACTATTCCCAATTCACTATTGGTATCACTCTCATTTCTCAGTGTTTATCTGTCTATTTAATCATATCAGTGAGTGCTTGTTTTGGATGTGCATGTTCATGAGAGGAAGTGCTTGTTGCTGCTGTCTGATCTAATTCTGGCTTGGGTTGATTGTGTTACTTTTGTATCTGTTATGTTTTCTCAGCTTTATACATTATTATTACTTTCAAGTGGACTTTTACTGTTTCATTTGCATAAATGCTCCGCATGTTGTTTGTGGATATTTAATGTTAGAATGGGCTATTGAAAAACTCTTAAGCGTGGTGTTCTTTTTAGATATTCTCTAATTCCTGCCCAAATTAGAATATAACTTCCATATAGGAGGCTCATATCCTGTGATTCCTGGATCCCAATAGAGAATGTCAATTCTAAATATATTTTTATTAGTTCCTAGTTCCTTAGTTTGTTGTCTCATGTTTCACATTATAACCTCTAAATAATAATGTGGAAAGATGATTTCCTCACTTCTTTAATCTCTCGCTCTTAGGTCATGGTCAAAAGTATAAAGCCAATGGTGATTGTAATGTCTTGATAATGATTAATGTTGCTGATTTGCTCTTGGGCTGTTTTTAATTTATCAGACCGATGTGTACTGCTTTATGGAAGTACTAAGTAAAAGAGTCTACAGCTAGTTTATATTTCAACCAAAAAGACAATTGGTGCTTAGAATTTTCTAATTTGTTTTATGCTAATTTGTCCCATTTATTTTTCTAAACCTGACTTCGGCACATTTTCATTCCACTTTCTGACTGGATATGACCCTTCCTAATCTTTTGGAGTTGAGAAGGTATTTATATGATTGCATCTGAAAATGACCTGCATACTCAGAGAGCACCTAAATGGACTTTTGAACATCAAATTCCCTATTTTTTTTGGTTACACTGTTGCGATTCTGTTTACCTAGTTGAACATGAAATAACAGTTAATGGTGGCTGTTGCATTTTATTTGTGCTATTAAATATCAATCCAAAATATCACCCTTTTTTGTTGTTACATGTCTGCTAATTGGTCAACTCCTAGTTTCTAGTCTATTATTATTTCTTGCAGAAGCAAGTGAGCGGTTACGTTATTTCTGACTTCTTCATTCAAAGATAAATAAAGCAAATATCTATTTACGGTTATGATTTTCCTTTTGTTTATTTTTTCTATATTTTTCTTTTTTCTTTCAGTCTCAGTAAATATTTCAAGATCTTTTAATAATGTACAGCGGTCACTAATCGTGTTCTTGAGCAAATATGTATATCTCAAGAGAATATTACTACCTGCTTTCTGGTTTCATGTCGCTCATGCTGCTATGTTAAATGATTCTGTTTACTATGCATCCAGGAAAGAGGAAGCCTGACCCTGATTTCTATTTGGCTGTTGTGGAACATCTTAAAGTTGATCCTGTGAGCTGTATATTCATTGATGACAGGTATCATCCTTGCCAACTTCCCACTGAAGAGGCACTTGTAATAGGATCCAAAACCAGTAGTAGCAGAGAGTACAAACCCTGATTTTAGGGAAAAAGCCTATAGGAGATGATACACCTTGTGTCAAAGCAAAATTATGCTGTCAAAGCAAAGTTAGGACACCTCTCAATGCTAATTGTAAGCAGTTAGAAATTCTCTATCTTATGCCTGTGTGGAGACATGAACACATGGATGCATGTTTTGTTGTAACCACATGCCCTTTTGTGTCTGTTGGGTTTGCATGGAAGTTTATGTTTATCATTGTTTGTGGGATAACTTCTAAGTGCCACTTTCTGGTGGTACGTTTGATGATATGAAAGCCCAGTGTGCGTTGAGCTAAGCGAAGGGAGATAGCCATCTCACATCCTATAGGTCTCACTCTCCCTTCTCAAGGTTTCAATTCGAGCCTTGAAGTTGAAAGTCCTAAGTTTTAGACATCAGCATAACCGCTTTGGGGTCTAAGTGCCAATGTGATCCAGGGTCATGGTGTTATTTCCAATCCACTCATAATAGGCTTTTCTTTGAAGGAAACTTATTTCTTTCTCTAATGCTTCTAGGCCAACTTTGAAATGCAAATTTGATATATATTTTGCAACAAATCGAACTAATACTTTAAATTCTTATCAGATGCTGTCAACGTATTAGCATGAGAAAACTAAAATTGAGGAAACCATCCCACAAATGTCTTAGAACTCATTTCACTGACTTGGCATGCATGATTTTATATCTCTCACAGAGACGTGCACATACACACATAAGTTTACTTTCTGAGGACAGGTGCACTCTCCTGTTGCTTCACTTACCAATGTGTGGTATGGTGAACGTCTCAGGATCAAAAACGTTGAGGCTGCTGTCGGAGTTGGCATTACTGGTCTTCACTTCAAGAACCCAGATTTACTACGTCAAGATCTTGAACCTTTGGGGGTTGACATTTCCATAGATGGACATGTAAGTGAGAATCAGCTTAAGCCTGCAGAAGGACAGACATGGTGATATCTAAATTATATATTTGTGTTATTGTCTTTTTGGCCTTCTGCCTTGTTAATAATCGCTTCATTGTCGTTATTTTGTATGGATATCCTTCTTTGTATTGAGCATCCATTGAACAGAGTATGTTGGAATTCCCCCGGTTATGGTGCCCATTGGACCTTCCGCATCCTCCCTTGAACACTCAACATCAAAGTCCAATCCCTACAGAATAAATAAAAAGGAGCGAATATTACTAACATAATTATGGATAATCAACACCAAAATTACAATACTAATTTCATTACAAATAAATATAAGATTTAGCGAGTCTAGTCAGGTGTGTGACTGTGTGTAGTAAAGAATTAAAGGACTTTGAAACAAATAAATTGGAACTCTTAAGGACTAAATTAGTACTTTCCAAAGTATAAGGTGGACTAAATTGAAGCAAAGAGAAACACCCAAGTGTCTTCTCAGTTCTCTATCTCTTCCCGCCCTAAAATTCCAGAGGTTGTTATGTTTGCCTAATAAATTTTCAATTTTTTCAGTTCGCTGTGGTTAGCTTCTCTCTCTCAAACTGTCCTTTCTTCTTTTTCTTGATTGAATTATTTCCAATAGGTTGGTTTCCAAGTTCTTTTATCTGAAGTCTCATAATTCGATCGAAACAATTGACAATACCCAATTTTAGCTTTCTGGGTATTATCAATTTCTGTACTTTTACCTGTAATTGTTTTCTTTCTAGTTCTTAAAACTGAAAATTCTGCTTCTTTACTCATTTTTCTGGTAAAAGTCAATCATCTGCTGAATAATTGGATGGATTTAAAAGTTTGCTATTTTTGGAGTTCTTTTTGCTACTTCAATCGTAACAAAACATGCTTTAATTCTTTATTAGGTATGTGTGGCTTTTGTTTTTTTTTGTTACTTTCTTCTTGTTTTAATGTTCTTGTAGTTGCTAAAAAGTAAAAGTTGAATACAAAATGTGGCGTAAAACCAACGTCGTAGCTAACCTTTTGCAAACTTGCATAGACAAGAAATCTATCCTACCAGGCAAAGTCCTTCATGCTTATATTCTCCGCAGTAACCTTTTAGCCGATACTTTCCTGTGTAACCGTCTCATAGAACTCTATTCCATATGCAACGACCCAACGTCAGCTCACCACATGTTCGACCAAACCCCTCAAAAAAACATTTATTCCTGGAACGCCATTTTAAGTTCCTATTGTAAAGCTGGAAACTTAACATTTGCACGTAAAGTGTTCGAACAAATGCCTGAAAGAAACGTCGCTTCATGGAATAACTTGATTAGTTTAATGTTAAAAAATGGGTACCAGGAAAAAGCATTGGATGTTTATAAACTTATGGTTTTGGAAGGTTTTTGGCCTACCCATGTTACTTTTGCTAGTGTTTTAAGTGCCTGTGGAAGTGTTTTAAATTTGGAGCTTGGGAAGAGATGTCATGGTCTTGTTATTAAGATTGGTCTTGATAAGAATATCTTTGTCTGTAACGGCTTGTTGTCTGTTTATGCTAAATGTGGGGTTGTGAAGGAAGCTATTAAAGTTTTTGGGGACATTGATGATCCTAATGAGGTTACTTTTACAACAATGATGGGTGGATTAGGAAAGATTAATGGGGTTTTTGAGGCTCTGGAAATGTTTAGAATGATGTGTCGAAAAGGGGTGCAGATTGATTCTGTTTCATTGTCGGCTGTTTTGAGTGCTTGTGCAAAGGTGGGGGAGTATGGCGAATTTGGTTGTTATGAAGAGAATTATAGATTTTTGTGTAATGTAGTACTAGGGGAACAAGTACATGGTCTTGTGGTTAAGCTTGGATTTGAATGTGATCTTTATTTGAGTAACTCATTGCTTGACATGTATGCAAAGAATGGGAATATGAAGAGTGCTGAGACAATTTTTAGTAATTTGGGTAAAGTCAGTGTTGTTTCCTGGAATATTATGATAGCTGGATATGGTCAGAAAGGACAAAAAGAGAAAGCTGTAGAGTGTTTGCAAAGAATGCGGTGTTGTGGTTTTGAACCTGATGAGGTTACTTATATTAATATGCTTGCGGCATGCAGCAAGCGTGGGGATGTTGAAACTGCACGTCAGATGTTTGATAGCTTGTCGTGCCCAAGTGTGATTTCATGGAATGCTATAATCTCTGGCTATTCCCAGAATGAGAACCACAAAGAAGCGATAGAGTTTTTTAGGGAAATGCAGTTTCAAAATGTGAAACCTGACCGGACTACTGTGGCTGTTATCCTTGGCTCATGTGCTGGAATGGAATTTTTGGAGGGTGGAAAACAGGTCCATGCTGCCTCACAAAAGGCTGCTCTTCATATGGATAATTATGTTGCTAGTGGACTGATTAGCATGTACTCAAAGTGTGGGAAGATAAAAATGGCAGAGTGTATATTTTCTTATGTGCCAGAATTGGATATCGTCTGTTGGAATTCTATGATTGCAGGTCTTACACTCAATTCTCTAGACAAAGAAGCTTTCATGCTCTTTAAGCAAATGCAACAGGGTGGAATGTTGCCTACTGAATTCTCTTATACAGCAATACTAAGCTGTTGTGCAAAATTGTGTTCTTCATTTCAAGGGAGGCAGGTCCACTCTCAGATAGTAAAAGATGGCTATATGAATTATGTCGTTGTGGGGACTGCCCTTGTTGATATGTATTGTAAATGTGGTGACATAGATGGGGCACGAAAGTATTTTGATAGGATGCCTGTCAGAAATACTGTTACATGGAATGAGATGATACATGGTTATGCTCAGAATGGACGTGGAGATGAGGCTGTTCGTTTATACAAAAACATGATTGCATCAGGTGAGAAACCTGATGGCATAACCTTTATTGCTGTTTTGACTGCTTGTAGCCACTCAGGATTGGTAGATCTGGGGGTCAGAATATTCAATTCAATGCAGAGTGACTATGGGCTTGAGCCAGAATTGGATCATTATACTTGCATCATTGACTGTCTTGGCCGAGCTGGTCATTTTCATGATGCAGAGCTCCTTATGGACAAGATGCCATATAAAAATGATCCAATCATATGGGAAGTTCTGCTTAGTTCTTGCAGAGTTCATGCTAATGTCAGCTTAGCTCAACGAGCAGCAGAGGAACTCTTCCACCTGAAACCTGAGAGCTCTTCCCCTTACGTGCTTTTAGCTAATATCTATTCTTCTCTAGGAAGATGGGATGATGTCAGGGCTGTTAGAGAGCTGATGAGTGATAGACAGATTGTTAAGGATCCTGGTTATAGTTGGACTGAAGATAAAGAGCAAGATATAAGTCTATCTGTTGGGTGATACATACTACTACATTACGTTAAAGATCAGTCATTTCTGTTTTACAGGCTATACTGAAGATGGTAACTAAAATCACTCATGAGAAGGCCAAGAGAATGACACAAGAGGTAGAGTCAGCAAAATAATTTCTGTTTGGTTAATGTAGATGCTGGTGCAGACAAGTGGGAAGTATGTGATTTTATGTAAAAAAGCATTATTAACCTTCTATTCATGTCTATTCATTTTCTTTCTTTGGTTCCTCTAGTTATCTATGTTAACAATGTGATTATCTTTTGCAGCCTGTATGATGATGGTAAACAAAATCAATCATGAGGTTAAGAGATGTGGCGTTTTTTACAGTTGAAAAGGTATTCATATGATTGCATCTGATAATGAAAATGACAGTTAATGGTGCCTGTAACATTTGCTTGTGGTATCAAATACCAATCCAATGTATCACCCTTTTTTAATTGTTACATGTCTGCTAATTGGTCAACTCCTAGTTTTTAGTCTATTATTACCACTTGCAGAAGCAAGTGGGCGGTTATGTTGCTTAAGGCAAAACATCTTTTTGTCTCCAACTCAATTATGATTTTCCTTTAGTTTTTTTTATCTTTTATTTTCTTTTATTTTCTTTCAGTCTCAGTAAATAGTTCAAGATCTTTTAATACTGTACAGCTGTCACTAATTGTGTTCTTGAGCTAATATGTATATCTCGAGAGAATATAACTACTTGCTCTCTGGTGTCATGTAGCTCTTGCTGCTATGTTGAATGATTCTGTCTATTATGCATCCAGGAAAGAGGAAGCTTGATCCTGATTGTTATTTGGCTGTTGTGGAACATCTGAAAGTTGATCCAGCAAGCTGTATATTCATTGATGACAGGTATCATCCTTGCTACTTCCCACTGAAGAGGCACTTGTATAGGATCCAAAACCAGTAGTAGCAGAGAGTACAAACCCTGGTTGTGAGGGAAAAAACAAGAGGAGATGGCATACCTTGTGTTAAAACAAAATTATGCTGTCAAAGCAAAATTAGGACACCTTAATATATGCAGTTAGAAATTCTCTATCTTATGTCTGTGTGAACACATGAACACATGGATGCATGTGTTGTTGTGACCACATGCCTGTTTGTGTGTATCAGGTTTGCATTGGAGTTTTCTTTGTATGGGTCTGTCTGTGTTCTATCATTCTTGTGTTTTTTGTTTTTAATTCTTAGAAGTAAAATGCATGTTTAACATTGTTTGTGGGATAACTTCTAAGTGTCACTTTCTGGGGGTACATGTGATGATATGAAGGCCCAGTGTGCCTTGAGCTAACCAAAGGGAGATAACCACCTCACCATCCTATAGCACTCTCCCTTCTTGAGGTTTGAATCCAAGCCTTGAAGTTGAAAGTCCTGCGTTTTAGGCATCAACATAACCCCATTCGGGTCTAAGTGCCAATGTGATCCAGGGTCATGGTGCTATTTTCATTTGACTCATTCATAGGCTTTTCTTTGAGGGAAACTTATATCCTTCTTTAATGCTTTGAAGCCAACTTCGAAAAGCAACTTTAATATATATTAATTCAATAACGCGAGCTAATACTTCAAATTTCTTATCAGACGTGGTTAACGTATTAGCATGCAAAAACTAATACTGAGGAAACCATCCCACAAATGTCTTAGAACTCATTGCACTGGCTTGGCATGCATGATTGTCTATCGCTCACAGAGGCGCACACATACACACATTACTTTCTAAGGACAGGTGCACTCTTCTTCACTTACTAACATGTGGTTAGTAAGCTTCTCAGGATCAAAAACGTCAGAGGCTGCTGTAGGAGTTGGCATTGCTGGTCTTCATTTCAAGAACCCAGATTTACTACTTCAAGATCTTGTCCAGTTGGGGGTTGACATTTCTATAGCTGGACATGTAAGTGAGTCTCAGCTTAAGCCTGCAGAAGGACAGACATAGTGATATCTAAACTTACACACATTAAACTATTATCTTAGTGTTATTGTCTTTTTGGCCTTGTGCCTTTGTTAAAATTGCTCCTTTATGGTTATTTATTATAGATATCATTCTTTGTATTGAGTATCCATTGAACAAATGATGCTATAATTGCAAAATCTGTATACCTAAAAATTATCAAACAAGTCAACGTCTAGCTACCAATGGTGGCCCAAACGCAGCAAGATTCCCTAATTAAACTCGAATAAAGCTAAACTTTATTAGATAAATAAATATAAACCTCAAAGGGGAGCAAAAGTGCAAAAGTAGATACGCAAGCATTATATAAAAATTAGTTAACATTTAATATGCTTATATATTATATAAAAAAAGATGAATTTAAAATTTACAAATGAATTTAAAATACATGCAAGTAATTTCAAATTCATCATTAGGGATCCAATTAATTTATGTTTAAAAATAATTATGAAAATCAGGTTTACGTGTTTTTTATAAAACAATTTAGGTTAAGCTTGAAATTCAAATTGGTGTAGATAATGTAATTGGTGAGTTTAGAGTGAATAATTAGTAAGAAACAAAGAGAAACACCAAACTTATATATATTTGCCGCCAAAGTGGAACTCTAGGGACTAAATTAATTCTTTTAAAAGTACAAGGCAGAAAACGAGATATAAGTCAATTTCGACGGCTAACATGCAATTATACAAACAAAAGAGGGGTACAAATTACAAATAAGAAAAACCATACTATAACAGACACTCGCGGATCTTTGACCATTTTCCTCTGTTTATCTCTCTTTTCTTTGTTTTCTCTCTCTTCCCGCCCTAAAATTTCTGAGATTGTTATGTTTGTCTAATAAATTTTCAATTTTTGGAAGCATGAGCGTCACCCAGTTCGCTATGGTTAGCTTCTCTCTCTCTCTCTCAAACTGTCCTTTCTTTTATTTTTGGGTTGAATTATTTCCAATAGGTTGGTTTCTCTGTTCTTTTATCTGAAGTCTCATAATTCGTTAGAAACAATTGACAATACCCCATTTTAGCTTTCTGGGTGTAACCAATTTCTGTACGTTTACCCGTAACTTTTTCATTTTAGTGCTTAAAACTGAAAATTCTGCTTCTTTACTTATTTTTATGTAAAAGTCAATTATCTGCTGAATAATTGAGTGGATTAAAAGGTTTGCTACTTTTTTTCATTTAATTCAGTGGGAGTTTGTTTTGCTACTTCAATTGCAACAAAACATCCTTTAATTCTTTGTTAGGAAATGTTTGGCTGTTGTTGTTGTTTTTTTTTTTTTTTGCTATTTTCTTCTTCTTTTTTTAATGTTACCCAACTTGCTATAAAGTAAAAGTACTTAGTACAGAACAAAGTTGTAGTAGTAGATGAAAAATGAGTGAATTCATGTGAATATGATTATTCCATATAAAAGTAAAAGGGTACATTTTTCTATTCTCCAAATTCACGTTGGACTTTTAATTTTTCAAAAATGTGTTTGCTTTTGTATTTAATTGCAACTTTTGCTTCATTTTTTTCCAAGTAAAAAGTAAGTAGCCAAAGTAACAATCATAATGGGACTAATATAACTAAGATGCAGGTGGAGGAATTGGCCTTTCTGGTTAAGTACAATCTTCCTTGCAAGCATCTCGTGCTCTCAATGGAAGAGGCTTTCGTTAATTTCCTTCAGGATGATACAAGGTAACAGAATAACCTGCATCCCCACGCAACAACTTCCGAGGAATTTCATTTTTTGTACATGTCCTATACAATTATGAGCATATTTGAATGATGAAAATGTTGGATTGCAGCTCAGATGGGATCCTAGAGTTGGAACCCATGAACTCATATAATCGGCTTCTCCTGCATCGTCTTGCAGATATATTTGGGTAATTTTTTTGCCTTAAAAAACGCCCTTATTTTAACTAGATAAGTAGACTTAATGTTTTTATCACTAATAATTATTTGAGTTGACTTTAGAGCTGTATAGTTTTCTGAGTTACTGTTTAACACTGATATTTTGTTACATTCTGCTAGATTTGCTCATGAATCGGTTGGTGAAGGAGATGATCGGCATTTGGTTTTGGAACGATGCCCAGAGACATCAATGTACTTTTTATCCTAATTGCACGAGTTTTGGACATTTATTTATTACTGTGCTCATAACCTTGCATCTTGTCTTGCAGACCTTCCATTCTTGTTAGTGATATATTATGGCAGTGTGATGAGCCTCAGTCTCTCACAGCATCACGTCATTTATTAGTGAGAGAAGAAGCTCCACCAGGTAAAATTCTTCCTGTTGTTTAAGGCACTGTGTGGGCTACTGGTTCATGATCCCCCTAGTCAAGCAAGAAGTCATTGGCAATTTTTGAGAATACTATGTATAGCTGAGAAAATTCTCTTTTCTTTGCACTTTTTGATGTGGGTTACTTATAGAGGATCCAGAAGCCTGTAATACAGTATCCTTTTGTGTCTGAAAGTTATCATGCCGCCTTGCCCATTGGGGAACTACAAGGAAAGGGAAGAATGGATGAATTGGGTGAAAGAAAGGATCCAGTTCCCCTTGTCTGGGTTGCTTAAAGATGAAGAGTAGATAGAAAGGAAGAATAGATTGCGAATCTTGTTAGTAAAAGAATGAAAGGGAAGGAAAGAGTAACATTTAATTTTCTTTTACAGTCATATGCATTTTGTGTTGAAAAGAAGTTGTCAAATAAGGATGAGGACAGATTACCATCCAAAGGGGATTATGGAGGGTTTGGGCAGGATACATGTATCCTAGTATTCCCATGCCCTCCATTATTAAGTTTCTGAAACAAGGGAGAGGGACAACTCCTCTCTAGAAATATGCACCAACATTTTTCCGTCATGGTATTCATTTGTCTTATTGCATGGCGCCCTACTTCTATCTGTCTAGATGTAATCCAAGTATATTCAAGTGCTTGAAGAGCATATCTGCCGTAAAAAATGCAATTACCTCGATCAGATATAAAGAATCTGTACTTTCGTACTAGGTACCTTTGGCTGGGCAGTGAGGAGACTGTCTCTTCTTTTTCTTCTTTCTTAGGGGAAGCCTTTGACATTAGATTCTTATAGATTTTTTTTTTATCTAATCTAAACTTTAAAGGTTATTGCTGGAAACAAGCTTAAAAAATTGTTAAAACTGTAACAGGGATAAGATTATGGGATGTCCAAAAAAGGGACATTGTTTTGGACATTCCAAAGTGGAAACTAGGACATCCAACTTGGGAATGGAGGGAGTATTTATCATGGGGCTATTCTGCTGCATTAATTGAAAGTGTTAAGGTGATAGGTCAAGGAATGTGGGTCTCTTGAAAGAGGTCACTTTGAAGAGCTAAAGCACTAGATTGTTTCTTAATAACTTTTTAGATCCTATTTTAGTTGAACATAACTAAGTAATGACTGTTTTAGTTCTAGCGTTCCACCAAAGTCCCATACCTTATTGTTAGGATAAGAAGGACCTGTTTATGAGACTCCCTCTCTTTAAGCATTTGCAACTTGGCTGCTAGGAGGGCTCTTGCTGACCGTTGGGGTAACTCATTTATTTTTTATCATTTCAGAAGAACATAAATGAATGCTGGTCTTGTGGTCCATTTCATAGGCTGAAATCTAGATTCTATCCCATTCAGCATCAACTGTTATGCTATTCCTTTATTCCCATTTTGTTGTTTGTTTCCTTTGTCTTTCAGTTAAATGTTTGCTCTGAATCTGTTCTTGATATTATGCTGGAAAAGGCTGTCTTCTGTTGGCATTACCTTTAATTAGATAAAGAGTTGAACAATGATTCTCACCATGTGGAAGTATGTAATAGAATGGATAACAAAGCTACTTTGGCTCCTACCGAGACTGAAACAGAATTCTTGTCTAAGATCCTATGTACCAACCAATAATAAATTTTAATTAAGTGACTAGCCATAGACCTTGTGCAACGTGGCATGCTGCAAAGAGTAATGTGCTTATTTTGAGGATTGAAGTATTTATTATATGCACACAAGTTGCTAGTGCATCTTCCAGACCAGTATAATGATTTAGCGATGTCTATATGATTGAAGTGGTCCAGGGTTGACTCTTTTCATTTTCCCTTTTATTTTTTTATTTTATTATATGATTGAAGTGGTCCAGGGGTGACATTTTTCTTTTTTCCTTTTATTTTTTTATTTTATTTTACTTAATTTTGTCTGCATATATTTCCAGTTTTGTCTATATTGATTATTGAGTAGCATGAAAGTGTTAATTACCAGGACGATGAGACCTGAAAAATTGCCTTTTCTTGTTTCAGTAGTGAAGACGGAGTTGCCTTCTTTTGAGCTTAGTCTTGAGGCGAGAGAAGCAGCTTACTTGGCAGCTCGTGAGCGGATTTTTTCAATGGATGTCGAAGAGGTACGAGAAGCTGTGAAAGAGAAGCCACGAACCGTTCCTGTTGTGGCTCGTCGAATGATTGCACATGCTTTGGGCCAAAAAATAAACTCATGCAGTCAAGATGTTAATGCCAGGGATTTTAAAGACCATGAAGGGCAACCTAATGAACTGAACATTCATGATAAGGATGAAGTTGATAATAATTTGAGAACCGAAACTTATCAAGATACTGTTTTTGTCCCGGGCAATGCATTCAGTAAAGCAAAGAGCAATGCACATAAACATAATGCATCGGTCGTTAGTGAGAGGAATGTCTCAGACAAACCAGCTCAAAAGGGGCCTGCTGATGTTAGGATACCTGGAAGAAGTCGAAATAGAGTTAACAAAGAGTACTCAAAAGAAGAACATCTAGGAGCTGCAAAGAGAATGTTTGCTCATGCTTTAGGTTTGAGCTCAGCTAAGGATGGTGTTCTTTTGAAAAGCAGTGAAATGAAGGCAATCGACAATAAGTAAGGTTGAGTGACATTTCAAGATAACACATAGATCATTTATTTCTTCTGTTGAACTTGGTGCAGTAGATAAAGAGCTCTTTGACTTTTTCTTCCAACTTATACCAGTTAAGGATAGAGCTCCATGATGATACTACTGTCACAAATGAGAATATGCAAAGAAGAAAACCGTTAACCTGAGGTGGCATGGTAGCTGCTTGCTTGAGTCCTCTGGAATTGCATCTGGTGAGATTGCTTTCTTCTCATTGCGTAAGTTCTTTCAATGAGAAATGATGATGTTTTGTATACTTGTTTGCATTTGACTAGAGTTGCAAGCTCTCTGTTTTCCATGGACTAGAAGGCGCATCTAAGCTGCACAGGAGTCATATGTGCTGGTCAAAAACATCCATTCTCTCCCATGTAAGATGATGTTTGAACCTGAATAGTCTGTAGTCTGTTTTGGTACTGACTTGAGAGATACCGTGAGGTTGTGATTGTAGGAAACTATGTTATAGAAAAGTAATAATTTGTAATATGTGCAGAGAATTTAATTCTCAAGTAAATTATAAGAACCCACTTCAATGAATTTGTCCGGCTATCTTCTTTAGAACCTACACTTCCCTGACTAATTTTGTTGCACCTTATGTCTTATATAAGCAAATACGTGATAGCTAAGTCTCGAATATCTATCAGTCATATTCTGTTCTGAATCTGTGTTAAGACTTTGTTCATCCTGTTGGAAAGCAATCTATTTTAGCAGTATTTAGAAGGTTGCCACTTTCCAAAGCCTGTAAGAAGATTGGTTCTAGAATTCAGGCACATCGTTACTGCCAAAGCAGTTTAAGGAGGATATTTATATTATATGTACCAGATACCACAGGAGAAAAGATTATCTGAGGGAACTCAACCTTGTCATACGGTTTAATTCATCGACATGAATTTAAATCATTTGAGATTTCATTTATAGACTTCCAGCATCTAACTTCAGCTCAAGAGTAACGAATAATTTGAGGTCTACCTTATAACTTGTTCAATCTCTTTACATGTAAGCAATAAAACAAGCTGCTAATTTCTTGAAATGTGCTTCATATTCGGAGTAAAATGTTCTGTTCTTTCCTTGTGTCTTTTTTCCTTGGTGTGTATTTTAGCTTTCTATATCCAATAGTTGGACGCAATGCAAGATAGCCCCATGCCTTCCCCTATACCACCTCAATCTACGGTTAAGGTGGAATTCGTTACATTAAAAAAAAAAAACAGATATCCACAAAATAATATGGAAATCGAAATTAATTACAGCTCGAACCCTTCTTGAATGTAATGAGTAACCCTCTTGTATTCTCCTTGTAGTTTATGATACAAAAATTACAACAGAAAGACCTGGGTACCATGGTTCCAAAGAGCACCTCCTGCGGCGTTTAAGACTCCATAAGAAAGCAACATACTGCAACCACGTCACAACCAAAATGAAATTAAGAGAGCTGTTCCTTGGATCTGCTGTACGATGGATCCAGTAGCTGCCCTTTAGAAATCAATCACTTCACCACAAACGTGTTGTCCCTTTTTCCCGGCGGTAGTTAGTTGAGCCAGAAAAGACAAAAGCTGAAGATGTAGGATCACAGCTACATCACCCTTTCACTTCGATGGGAAAAACTTCTGAAGAAAGCCCCATAGACTCTTGGGCAATGAGGAGAAAGTACTTTCAATTGGATAATCTCAGCTTGTCATGTTTGCCTTTCTGTTCTTGGATTTGAGGACTTAGAAGCCAACGCACGAAGCAAAGATTGAGTGGCTACAAACTTCTCTCTGAGCATGACATTGTAGTCATACAGACGTTGAAAATTCTTCTCTATATCGGACAACTCAATCTGAGAACCAGACTTGAATTCTGCATTGAATAAGAAGCAAGATTACAAAGAGCAACTCTAACATAAATACATCAGTTAAGTCCCTATCAAGGGTTTTGGAGGAACACACCACTAAGGCATATGGTTTCAGTTCATCATATTGAAAGAAGTGTGTTTAATAGGCAGTTCTAAATTGGAGCTTCAGATCATCTCCAAGCAAATGACTTTGAGATTGAAGTGGCAGTTTTAAATTGGAGCTTCAGATCACCTCCAAGCAAATTACTTGACAATGGAGTCAAACGCTCACAGTTTAACATTTGTATTTCTAGCTTTTACCATTCAGCTGGCTGTTTTCAGTTACAAGAAGTCATCTATATGTATCACTTATCATTTAACCACCCAACACAATAACTATGAAAGTTCATAGCCAGTTGACTTTAGAAAGAGAAACTATTGGAGTTGTTACAAGTGAGGACAAGCAAGCACAACTTCATAAGGCAGAGAAAACAAGGGAAAAGTAGTTCACAGTCAGAACCTTGAACAAAATTTATAAAATTCAAATGCCAATGACCATTGAAAGGCACATTTTTAATCAGTATTGTCCATCAAGCTCATATTCTAGATTTCAACCAAACCTATCAGAAAGTCCAATAGCAAATCACATGCCAATATGCAGACAAGCAATGAAGTCACAGGGGCTTCACATTGATGACCAAACCTGTAGGACACTAGTGAATATCAAGAGCCAAAGTTCTCCTAGGAATTTCTTTATTTTTTGATGATAAGTTAATTTTCTCTTATGACTTAACCAATGAAAGCCAATATTTGATACTCATTGCAAATCAT